TCTTGATGAAACAATTGAATTATAGAATGAAATCATCAAAGCCTAGATCGAACAAAAAAAATCCACAAAATGAAACAGGTTTCATGAACGTGAAACCGGTTCATGTTGCAAAGAAATTAGGTGAACCGAAACATTTTTATGGTGAACYCGTTGCATTGATGGTGTAGTTAATCTTTTTTTTATGAGAAACAAAATGAAACCAATGCATTTTGAAAAAAATTATGAAAAAGAAAATGAAACAGGTTTCATGAACGTGAAACCTATTCATGTTGCAAATAAATTAGGTGAACCAAAACATTTTTATGGTAAAACCATTGCATTGATGGTGTAGTTAATCCATTTTGTTGATGAAAAGAAAAATGAAACCAGTGCTTTTTGTAAATAAATTATGAAAAGGAAAATGAAACATGTTTCATGAACGTGAAACCGGGTCTTATTGCAAATAAATTATGTGAACCGAAACATTTTCATGGTGAAACCAATTTCGTTCATATAATGTAATTCAAATTTTAAAACGATTCACTCCATATAATTGAATATGGTGTGTTATATTCATTTTTTTTTGATGTTTTATTGATGGATGTGATTTAAAGTTAAAAAAATATATTGCTTTAAAAAATGAAAATAGTGTCATTAATATCTAGAAGGATGTTACCAAATGTTAAATTTTATTTACCATTTTTGCCCTTACTGTTGAAATAAAATAAAATATTAATATATATATATATATATATATTTTTTAATTTCCTAAAATAAAGTAACTAATCTTGGCCATTAATCAAGTAAATAGATGGCTGAAATTGGTTTACACGGTTTACACAAATGAGGCAGGTTTTTATTTGAACGCTCCTCTATATATATATATATACATATATATATATATATATACACACACACACACACTATATTATAAAGCATTTGACAAAAACTCTTAAAAACCATTTTTTATGCATGAATGACTGTATATTGATGCATATTACTTAAAATTCAAGATTACAAGTAAATTATGCATAAATACTACTTATTAAAGTTTCATGTTTGAATTCGTGTAACTAACTATTGATAAATATAATCAAATAGAAGATAAATATCTCATTTTAAAATATAATTAAGATAATTATCGAGTTCTAACAAAATAATTAATTATTATCTTTATAAGAAAATTATATTATTAATCTATACCATATTATAAAGCATTTGAAAAAACTCTTAAAAACCATTTTTTATGCATGAAGTACTGTATATTGATGCATATAACTTAAAATTCAAGATTACAAGTAAATTATGCATAGGTACAACTTATTAAAGCTTTATGTTTGAATTTATGTAACTAACTGCGAATAAATATAATCAAATAGAGAATAAACATCTCATTTTAAAATATAAAAAATCTAAAATATAATTAGAATAATTATCCGGTTCTAACAAAATAATTAATTATTATCTTTATAAGAAAATTATATTATTAAACCAAATATAAATTACTTCGTTATTGAACCTAAATAAATTATAACAAAAAAATTGAATTAAAAAATTACACAAAAAATAGAAATTTTAAATAGTTAATTTGATAATAATATCAATATATTTTTGTCAGATTTTTTTGATATCTTCAAATTTATATTTTATTTAAAAATAAAATCATCGTCCTTTTTTAAAAATCACACAAGACTATACTATAACATTGATTGAGATAAAGAATAAAATGAAATATTAAAATCAAGATGTATCTCGCTGTATTGCGCGAATACCCTTCTAGTATATATATAAGGAAAGGTTCATTTGAAAAGTAGTATTTGAGAAGTAAAGAAACGATCATAACCCTTCATCTGGTCAATATCTGCAGCTTTGGCCGTAAAGCACCGGATAATTCATCGCATGGGTATGCAAAAGATAAAAAGGGTAATTTCGTAACTTTTACAAATAGACGGCAAACAGGTTCATATGTGAACAGATGTGATACACGTATGAACTAATATGTTTATATGTGAACCCGTTAATTAGTTCACATGTGAATTATTTAACTGATTCACAAGTTAATTAGTTAATATGTGGATCACATGTGAATCACAAGAGTTTCTTACGAGCTTTCCTTTAATCTACACGAGGTCCTCTTCTTTTGTGGCCTAGCATTCTACTGGATAGTTCCTACCCTTCCTTTATCCTCCTTGCGCTATGAATTGGTTTGATTAGTTCATATGTGAATCACTGAGTTTATATGTGAATCAATTAAAATAATTCATATGTGAATTACACAAGTTCACATATGAACATATAGAGCATATGTGAATCATATAGGTTCATATATGAACCCATTTGCCGCCTATTTGTATAAATTACGAAACTACCCTCTATATTTTTGGAGTAGCCGCAATTATTGATTATTCAAATCCGATCTTGACCGTATGAAAGGCTAGAAATACTTCTTTACTTCTCAAATATTTACCACTTCTCAAAGAGAGAGAGAAAGGGAGTGAAACAAAGGTTTAATTAAATAGTGGATTCAAGTAAGAATGATACAGCTCGACGAAAGAAAGGAAGTCTCTTAGCTGGTCGTTCTAATGCATAGCTCCAGGGTTAGACGCCGACTCCAAATCTTCAGTTGTCACCGGTTTATGCAACTGTACAGAGAGAGATCTTGTAAGGGTATGATGTATGTGTGACATTAATTTCTCCTAAATATCATATTCGTATAAATACCGGGAAAGAGTGAGATTTTAGGAAAACCCCCAAAAAAACGAAATCAGAGGAACACTCTAATAATCATTCATCAGTACGGTATGCACATGTACATACAAGTAATTGAAGATATTTCTTGATTTCTATGTACGTATGCACATTATGAACAACGGACAAATTGTTTGTATGCACATATGCATACCGTAGAGAAAATTATTAGAGTGTTCCTTAGTTTTTTTCATTTTTTACGGTTTTCACTGAACCTAGGGAATAATTTAGAAACAAATCAAAAGAACGAGCTACCATGTGACCAAATGATGGTGGGAAGCATGTAAAACATAAAGAAACCCTTTTGGTAATCAAACATTGAACCAAAACTTACTGCTTTTGCAACATGAAGCCAATGAAACGCACGCAAGAAACCATCTTCTTTTGATGGAAGATTATCATGATTCCATAACGTTATGTTTTCAAACTTTGCATTCATCTGCCAATAAGTCGTGTTTGCATCATTATTACAAGCTTTTCTCTTTGCAGAGCTCTTCCTTCCAATCACAAATCCTGCATTGTTTTGGAAAATCTCAAGGTTAAAAAAGCTAACGGCGCTAGATATGCAACAAAATAGTGAAACCTAGAGAACAGGTTGTGGCGGTAGTAGTCTAAAAACTTTAGACGGCTTCATCGACCAAATTCGAGCTAGTTAAGTTCATGCAGGGACTACCGAAGTTCATCTCTAATATCGAAGAAAATAAATAACTCAATGTTTCTGGACGCGCATCAACCTTACATATATTGTGTTCGTTAGATTGAAATAACCACTTTAGTTAGCTGCAGTTGCAACGATGGATCTAAACCACATTGGTTGTGTGTGGACCAAAACGAGAGGAAAATGCATAATTTGATTAGTTCTAAGCACGAGTTTTCTACCAATTTCGCATTTAGTTTTAAGTCAAATTTACTTCATTGTTGCTGAGATTTATAAATGGATCAATTCAAGCTGGGTGATTCCAATTAATTACATACAACTTTCTTCATTTCATATTAAAGCAGGTGCTAAAGAAAAAAAAGAATATTAACAAGTTTATTAGGATTCATCTCATGATATGTTGCAAGTGTGCTTTATACGTTTAAGCCAATAATCTAATCCAATTTCTATCAGCAAGAAAAATGAAACAAAAATGTACTTGAATGATGATTCGGAAGTAACTCACCCTGTGCATCAAAGTGGAACATAAGATTTTGGTAGTGTAGTTCAAATCAGTAATATTAAGAAAAGTTTTATAGGTGAATCACTGAAAAATCCATTTGAAGATGCATATGTGAACCCATATGAATAAATCTGTAATAGCGATTCACATATGCATCTTCAAATAGATTTTTCAAGATTTTTTCAAAGATTCACATATGAACCTTTGCTTCTTACTTTCTCATGATATCTAGCCTTCTTATTGGAACCGGCTCCTACACAACTGCTCTTAAATAATACTGCATTCTCCCACAGATGTGAGCTTTTTGCTTGAACGTAAAATTTAAGAAAATCCATAATCATTTTCATATGTAAACCACTGCAAGTTGCTACTAATATATTATACTAATATATGTATTAAACTTGAAGAGCAGCACTCATCAAATTAGCTGAACTTTATTTACTGTTAGAAGAAAAGGAAGAAATGTCGAATTATAGTTCCTAGTAAAGCTTTTAAAAAGACAGACAGGAATGTATATTGCTTCAAATGTTGAAAATTAAACAAAAGGCCTCCTCCCTTCATATGTATATCACATTATTTTTAGATTTATTGACTACTTTCTTTTGTATGTATGCTGTTAATTGTGGTGCTATACCGGTTACCACTCCTAGGGAAAATAGCAATGACAAATAGTGGTTCGCTAATAGCGGCATTAATCACCTCAGTTGGGCTGCGACTTTGATTTGCATAGTGGTGTGAAAACCGAAATTAGGTGTTGGCTTCCAATGGGCCTTTTAAAGGGTTTAGAGAAGTCGATTAAGGGATTACGAGCTAGGGGCTGATTTTGATTTGCAATACCAGTGTGTAAACTCGCTATTCCAATCTCATCTCTCCTACTCCAGCATTTTGTGCATCGTCTCCTGCTCTTCTGCATTTTCTCTTCACAACAACATCGTCTTCCATCATCTATTGCTCATCATCTCTTCTATTCACATGTTCTTTTGTTCATCTTCAATATATATAATCTGTCATGTATATATGCATATATTTATATGTAAGTGTAATTATTACAAGAACTCCTATTTGTGGACCACTATACCACCGCGATAACTCCTATATCAAATCACGGCCCTGACCGCTATGTCAGATTTAGACAGTTGCAACAGTATAAACTTTCTATACAACTTACATCCCAACCACTAAATTTGTAATCAATAAGTTCAACTTCATAAACGGTGTTCTTGATCCTAAGCAGTTTTGTAGCAATCTGAGATACCCAGAAAAGATTCTCAAAGCCTAAAGACCTCCAGCCTTTGAGGTTACATACAAATCCTTAGAGACAAAATTTTAGACTTTTGGTCAAGGGTTCTGCATAACCAACATGACGGAATAATACCTTTGGTTGACAACAATCCATGCAACAAGCAAGATACACAAAAGTTTCAACTCCTCTGAACAAATGATTAGGACTAGAAAACAAAAAAAAAAAAGAATTTTAGGTCTGTACCGGAATAATCATCAGGAAGGGGAACGGTGGTGCCTTGCAATCTCCTTCCTCTGAAGTAAGCCTCCTTCACATTTAGACCATCCACCTCAATCCCTACCACAGTATAACAAAAAAATTACAAATGATTCACCAATCAATTTCTATACACAAAAATTCGTCAAGGAGAGAAAGTGAGTGCGTATAGATGATATTCCAATAGTTAGATTAGGGTTTACCGTTAGGTTTGGGTTTGAAGTAATGAGAAACAGGAGATGGTCCGTTGTACTTGATGCAGCAAGGTAGCTGATGGACCTGATCTGTTAGATCGACTGAAGAAGACGACCTCACGCTGCCCAAATCGATGATTCCTGTCTCCATTGACGCATTTTCACCCTCCATTTCTGGATACTGTGATTGAATTTGGTGAAGAGAATTGCACCCTGAAATCCCTAAATCACCTCGAGAGTTACAATTTTCCCGCGCTTTGTTCTGAGAAAATTCGACAAGGAACAGACTCCAATGCAGTAGAGATTAGGGTCCTCGGTTGATCGGATCGTGTTCTAAAAATCTTAACCCCACCCGATTCAACCTCAGTATATAAAAATATAATTCTAACTTTCAATATGTTATTTTTTATTCGTAATTTATTTTTCATCATCTATCATTTGATACAACTTATCAATATTTTTTTATGTATATCATATTTAGTTAATTTTCTCAATTTATATATATATGTTCACAGCTAATGAACATATATACAAATGAGTTATATAGAGATGTGAATAGATTGAAAATATGTGTATATGAAAATGGTACGTGATAGTTGATTGTCTAATGTGTATATGAATAGAAATTCAATAATCATATTAAATCCAAGAAATAAAAGGATATTGGGTTCATCAGGTTGGGTTGGGTTGAGTTCAAATACTAGTAACTCAATATCAATCCAATACATATGATTTGAAAATTTTACAACTCGATTAGACATCGGGTTGAGTTATTTCAAGTTGGATTGGGTTGGGTTAATCAGATTGGTCGGGTTTTTGAGCACCCGTAGTAGATATGGCAGGTCCCTATTCGGCTCAGCCCGCTTGAAAAAAAATACTTATGCTTGTGCTCAAATAGATCTCGAATAACTTTTTCACTCAAATATTTTTTAAAGGCAAATTGCATGAAAAAATAATGTACTTTAACTTGATTTTTGTTTTGGATAACGTACTTTAAAATTTTCATTTTGGTACCTAAGATATAAAATTTTAAACATTTAAGTATCCGGGTAACCGGTTGAAGACTAATCTACACTACCTTATATATCAGATTTATCAAAAGTCTTAAAAACAATTTTTAATGCACAAAGTACTATACATTTATGCATAAAGTCTTAAAAAACAACTCATAATGCGTTAAGTATTACTAATTTATGCATTTAGTCTTAAAAACTCTTTATCTACAATTAAAATAACATAAAGTACAAGTTGCCAATGCATATTATTATCTTTTCTTTTCATGTTCTCAATATACTTTTGACACATTTCACTCATGTCTTCACTCTCTCATATCTCTATGTCTTTTCCTCATCTCCTAAAGTGAGATTCAAACTGATATTCATCAAGTTATTAAAAGTTCTCTCATTCATCTTCCATTCAATTGCTCTAGAACTCTCGGTCTCGCTCTCGATCTCTTGATTCTTTGCTCTTGGTGTAAATCGAATACATTTGTGGAGTCGTTTAAATATGTTGGATTTTAAACTATCATACAATTTTTTTTATCGATAGACTGTAATTGGAACCATAACTCTTATTTATTCAAATTGTATTAATATGTAGAGACCAAGTGTAACTTATATCATCGTTAAATATTCTTTAATAAAACTAGTGAAACTTCAAAATCGTTAAAATTCAAGCTCCCGCCGCATTGCGCGTGTACACAACTAGTTTTAGACTAAAAAAAAGACTAATTTTAGTTTTAAAAAATTCATATCACTAACCACGTCAACAAATAATACTGAGTTGGGTATTAGATCACTCACCAAATCAGCATGATCACCGGTTAATGCTTCAACCGGTTACTCTAGTACTTCAATGTTTAAAACTGTACATTTTAGGTACCAAAATGAAAGGTTTTGAAAGTACGTTATCTGAAATAAAAATCAAGTTAAAGTACATTATTTTTTCATACAATTTGCCTTTTTTAAATTATCGATCTCAATGTTTGTTTTATAGGCTTGAATTAGTGATCTATTAAGTCGTATTTTGGTTCAAACTAAGTAATTTTTGCATTTTCAATGCGCCTAATCATTTGATTTGAGTATACACTTTTTTCGAGGCAAATACGTTGATATTTTCATACATATTTGCCTCGAAAAAGTGTATACTCAAATGATTAGGCTCAACTCGACTTGAAAATTTTAATCAAGTTCTAAAACGAGTCAAGCTGTTAGGATTGAATTTTAGAGCTTAATTGTTGTATTCATTCTTGAAAGATATTCTTTGTAATTTTGTAATAGGTTTAACTCTTGTATAGGTTTGACCTATAAATAGGTTTAGTTTAGTTGTCAGAAAGTTGTAAGAGAGTTTAATTGAGTATTATCCTTGTAATTGAGCTTTGATGAAATAAACAATACTTTAACTGTTTGACCTTTTCTCTCAAGTATCATAATATTGATATTGTCATTTTTATCATGTTCTTGATGGAAGATGGAAGATTGAAGATTGATTGAAGTTTGGGACTATCAATTGGTATCAGTACAACGAATGTACTTCATATATGAGACTTTTCTCCATTCAATCATCGATAGCTTAGAAAAAACATATCTATGAATGTTATAGCAAAATAACAAATATTTTAAAAAATTTGTGTAGTGTGAAAAAGATAAAGCAATAAATGCTTCGAATTAGGCTCAAAAAGATAAACAATATGGACTACACAAATTTATCAGACTCAATATGTGATCAACAAGACTTGAAGGGGGGACATATATCCTTCCTATTCAATATCAAGAACTCCAAATGAGAATATGATAGATAATGATCTGCGTGCCCCAAGTGTTATTGAAACACTTGTCTTTTAAGAGATAAATGAGTAGCTAGTGGGGTTGTGACAAGAATTGGCCTGAGCATTGCCTCTTTCAATATTAGTCTCCAAAGAATTGAGAACTAATAGATTTCATGGCTTGCCCGGATTATAAAGGATAGAACATGATTCTTTTAATCTTTTAATCCTGACGCAACTCTCATCAATTCTTTTAGCTCACAACAATTACCCCTCTCATTTTCATTTTAAGCTCTGCACTCAAACCCATTTTCTATTTAAGCTCACTCAGATATGGATGTCCTCTTGGGTAGGGCTATCGGATCTGATAGTCCATAGAGGTATTTCAATGAAGCTCTCAGTCCTTTCCTAAAAATAACAGTGTAAGTTCATATGATCACAAATGATTGATCAAAGATATCATTGCAATTATGCATACATGATTAGATAAAATTGATCAAGAAAAATGTAGCGATTAAGAACAATTATTCAGGAGTGATGTTCAAAACAGATTATTCAAAATATGTGGGAGAAATGAATGAAGATCTGTAAGAACAAATTTACAGATTCATGCAATCAAAGAATAAAGAATTTTGAATCAATTAAAGACATATGTTTCAGATTAGATCAGAAAACAAATTTGAATACAAATGAGTGTATTATCTCCAAAAATGACTTTCATTTAAGAGACGTGATGATAACAGTTTGAAGAATAGCTGAAACACGTATTAGAATTATGTATAAAGAGAAATTACACAAGTAAAATCTCAAAGAAATATCTGATCAGAAATTATACTCGTTTTGATATAAAATCAAATTCCAACAAAACTTTTCAAAATCCTTTTTAAGAAACTCTTTCAGAACTCCCCTTAGAAAATAGATTTAATTATTTTCTTTTCAACTCAAAATCCAAACATGAAAACATTTCAGCTCGGGTCCTGAACTGTTTTGTTCATAAGCCATATTTCAGACAGATTACAAAATCCCCCTGCATCAGTGTATCACATAGAAGATATTTTTTGTCAGCATAACATATGACACACCTGCAAAAACAGATCAAGTAGACTTTGGTACCCAGACAAACTTGGGTCCTACTTTGTTAGTATTGGGCTGGGGAATATTGTAATTTCCATACCATCTATTTCTATCAGATGTATTCTTTTTGGTACTTTTAACAGGTAGATCAGATATGCAGTAAGAACCATACCAGTCGTTATCATACCTGTTAGAAGAATTACAGCTGTTCTCAAAGCCGTTGTCCTCATACCATCTGTTGATCTTCTTCTTGTTAACAAAATTTTTAGTTCCATAAGTTGAGCACAAAATTCTTCTCTTGCAAAAATTGATCAATTGATTAGTAGATCTCACAGTGCAAGGAAGAACAGTGTTAGTTACAACAGATTTATGAGAAACTGAATCAGCTTTATTGACCCAAACTTGTTTAAGTTTTGAAAAATTATCGAGTGATCCAATGACATACCCTTGATAAAACTGATTTGAAGAACGCGATTTGTTCTTAGAAACAGTTGATTTAGGGTTGCTTGAATAACTATTGGATTTAACACTGGAACAGTTATAAAAGCAAGTTTTACACTGAGATTGAGAACAGTTGAGCTTTTAGCACTTGAAAAGTCTTTTACTTTATTAGGTAACTAGTCTCTCTCATGAGCAACTAACTCATATTTCTTCTTAAGTTCAGATCTCATATTCAATTCAGTAACAAGTTCCGTCTTTAGATCAGACAATTTCTTTGAAGTTTCCAAAAACTTACTTTCCAGTTCTTTCTTCAGCTTTTCAAAATATTTCCTTTCTTTTTCAAACTCTTTCCTCTCTTCATCTGAACTTCCCTTCTCATTCTCTGAAGCAATGTCAAGCCGTTTCTTCTTCTTTGTAAACTCCTTGGCAATAGCAGCATTCTTCTTATATGTGTTTTTCTTCTCTAGAGCAAACACTTTCTTCTCTTCATTTAGTCGCTTTCTACTTTGAGCAATGTTGTCAAAATTCTCTAAATGCTTTCTTTGACATTCTTCCTCCAACTCTTTCTTCTCTTTATCAAACTTGGCTCGTTCCAAGATGATAGCCTGTTCAAAATCTGAGATTTGTTTTGAAAGCAATGTGGAATTCAACTCTAATGTTTTAATCTTGCTCTCAAACACTTTCTTTTCTTTTTAGCATCAAATCTCTTCTCAGCTTCTATCAACTCAACATTCTCCTTTCCTTGAAAATTCCTTTCAACATTCAGTTCACTCTCATCTTTATGGATTTTCATTGTTAACTCATTCTTCTTATTTATTTGCTTCATCTTTTCTTCATCTGACTCTTTTCTTTCAGATTCCAAAGTCTTTTCAAGTTCATAAATCCTAGATATCAGCTCGACATCGTCCTTTAACATATTAAAGTCTCTTTTTTGACTTCCATTGAGATAAGTATCTTTTCCAATTAGTACATCAATCTTAGCTTAAAGAAACTTCTTTTCTTCTTTATATTTCTTGATACCTTGTTCCAAACCTTTAGCCACTCCAAGTTAGCAT